GTCTGTGTGTTTAGGGGGTATATGTGTGGTTATGAATGACTCTGTGTGTATGTGTAGTATATATGTTTGTGGTATATATGTATGCATATGGTATACATGTGTAGAGCATGTGCTATGTGTATGGGTGTATATGGACTGTCACTTTCCCACAGTTCCATGTTTTCTATTTTCTATCTGTTCTTTCCAGCTCACTGATAGAAATGCTTACCACTCTGTATTACGTTCTCTGTCCTTAGCTCTTTGCCTTTGTTTAGTAAGTGCAGTAAGAGCATGCGGGACTAACATTTCCACTGTTTTAGATTTAAAATTGCACTATTCCATATAAAATGAGATGATTCTTCAGTAGTGGTTTTCTACTCCCCCTCATTCTTTGCTTGAACTCCATGCTGTTATGAACACTAAAATATAATATCTATGTTGTTGGTGGCCTTTGGGTAAATTAAGAGCAATTTTTAAAATACCCGTATGTTCATTATTTTTTGTGAATGTTTATGTGTGTATTGTGTGTATGTATGTATGTGTGTGTGTTTGTGTGTGCTGTGTATATGTTGTCTGTGTTTGCTGTGTGTGTATATATAAGTGTGTGTAGCAAGTGTTAGTGTGTCTGTGTGTATTGTATGTATTGAGTATGTGTATGTTTGTGTGTGTTTGTATGTATATCAGTGTGTTTATGGGTATATATGTGTGTATGTGCTGTGTGTATGTGAGTTTGTGTATTTGTGTGTGTGCATTGTCTGTATGTGTGTATGTGTTCTGTGTATGTGAGTGTGTGTGTCATTTGTACGTGACTGTGTGTACATATGTAAGTTTGTATGTGTAGTGTTTATGTGAGCATGTATGTATATGTATATGTGTGTGTTTGTGTGTCTATGTAAGTGTGTGCATATTATTGTTTGTATGTGACTGTGTATTTGTGTGTGTATGTGAGTATGTGTTGTTGGTATGTGTATATGTTTAGGTGTATGTGCATTATGTATATGTGGGTGTGTATGTGTTGTGTTATGTGAACGTGTATGTGTTGTATGTATGTGAGTGTGTGTTTGTGTGTATGTATTATTGTGTGTGTATGATATTATTGTGTGTGTATGATTGTGTGTGTATGTGTGTTGTATGTATGCAAGCATGTGTGCACATCACAGTGCACATGAGAGGTTAGAGAACAATGTTCAGGACTTGCTTCTCTTCTTTCCACATGTGAGGCCTGAGTGGCAGATAGTGGCCATCAAGCCTGGTATCCTTTGGCTAGTGTCATATTTATCTATTCTTATCTTCATGTCACTGTGTTTTGCCTATAGATCTCAAATTCATTCTAGTGTAGGGTTTTGTTTGTTTGCTTTGCTTTTGTTTTTCCTCACTTTAAGAATTTTATGCAGCAATTCAAATGTGCAGGCATACTGTGTGGCTAGGTTTTGTTTATGGGTGTATGTTTGGTCTTTGTTGGGTTTCAAATGGTATCCTAGTGGATGCTGAATTCTCTATTGGCAAGGCTGTTTGCCTTTTAAATTCATCTTTTCCTTTTGTTTGACCACTTTTCACTACGACCCCCTTCATCCTCTGCCCTCCATGTGCTGTTTCCTCTCCCTGGGACATTCCTTACCCAGCATCCCTTTGTCACCATCCTGTTTTTATTAGACTCCTCATGGAACCCACTGAGTCCAATTAGAAGTGCCTACATGGGCAGGAGTGTGGGGTCACACCATGGACCAAGGCCAAACTATCAAGGGCCGTATCCCCAAATAAAATTGATTTTTTTTTTTTTTACTTTCCCTAGAAGATATTAACTGCCAATAGTTCCTTATCCAGGGGTGGGGCCTTGAGAACCCTTGTCTCCCGTCCATGGTGGATACTAGTCAGGTCTCATTCAAACAACCATGGGTGCCTTGAGTCCAGAAGACACTGTTTCAAGTAAATCCTCCCCAGCCTCTGACATTTGCATTCCTTCTCTGCCTCCTCTTCCATAATGTTCCCTCAGCCTTGGAGGTCAGTGGGTCATATTTAGGATGGAGCACGTCACCCTCATTTGATCTCAGTTCTTGGACCACTTGTGATTCTCCGCTTACCAGTGTCCAGTGCAAAAGTAGCTTCTCTAATGAGGCCTTGGAGAGCCATCTCTGTTCCAAGATCTCAGGGGGCATCAACTCATTGTTTCCCTTTCTCCCCAACTAGCTCCATAGAAAAACATACGCTGTCTTATTATTTCCAGTATTCTCAGCATTCAGCAAAAATACCTGGCACCATAGTACGGGCTCAGAGGTGTTTCTCTAATGTACAGTCATTGCAGCAGAAGCAATGTAGACTCCAGTTTTACTGAACCTGAAAAGACACATTGAGGAGACACATTCTGCTGACCTCTCCAGACCTATCTGTTATAAACACTGTGCTGGGAAATATAAATACAACCTGATGTGTCTTCAAGAAGCTCCTCCAAGTCAGAAACTCTGTGTCTTGTTCCCACACCATCCGATACTAGACTCCGGGGCTTTAGGATGCTGTTAATGTCTTATTGTGCTGAAATGGATTCAGTAAGGAAGTTGACATTTTTGATTTAATAATTAGATTCTGTAGTTCCCGGAGGGAAAAGAGCCATATAATTCCAAAGTAGTTAGGATTTCAGCGAAGTATTAATAAAGCCCACAGTTCCTACTGAGAATGCCATGTCTTGTGTGGGAGATGTCCCCTCTACCCCCCCCTGGTTTTGTTCTTGTCTATGCCCACTTCCTACCCCTGTACTTTGTTCTGCAAGAAAGTACCCGATATTCCCTGCCCATGCCCTGGTTTGACTGCAGAGCATGAGAATCCTTGTGGAAAGTAGCAGGTCAGAATATTTTTTTTTAGATTTGTTGATGTTCTTAAAAGTTCCCAGTTTTAAACATAAATATTTATGCCTATTGCCAAACTGAGTCTCCATTTTTTTTTTTTTTTTTTACGAGGAGCCCTTTGATTAGTGTGAACTCTAAGGAGGACTCACACGAAGCAGTTACTGTTTATTATGAAAAGATTGATGGAGACCTCTGGAGGGAGTTACTGCCTGAAGCCGGATTTCATATTTTGAGTCTATGCATAAAGGAGCAGAATGGATCAGGCCTGGATAAGCATCCTGACAACTCCTATACTGGCTGTGATAACTTATAGCCTCTGGGTTTGGGGAGGAGGATAATCTGTCGGAAATGGGAAGGCAGTGCAAGCTCAGCTCTTTTTAATGGAGCAGCTTGGTTTTCATTCCTAAGAGCCACCATTCCTGGGACTAAGTCAAGTTTCCAAGAAGTGAGAAAAGCGAGACACACCAGGGAATTGGGGGGTTTTGTTGTTTGGTTTGGTTTTAGTCTGCCTGTGGTTTTGAGTGTAGGGTAGGATGGAATTCTAGTTTGAAACGTTTCCTGGCCCTGTGCTTAGCTTACTGAACAGAACCTATAGAACACTGGTCCTCAACATGTAGGTCTAGACTGCTTTGGGGGTCAAAAGACTCTTTCATAGGGTTTCATAGCAGATATCCTGCATATCAGATGATTACAATATGATTCATTACAGTAGCAAAGTTACAGTTATGAGGTAGCATGTGGTTGAGGGTCACCACCACATGAGGAACTCTAACATTAAAGGGTCTCAGCAACAGGAGCTCGAGAACCACTGTTCTAGAAGTTTCTCTTGGGCAGATGTTTGAGGTCCAGCCCCTACTCTGCTCTTTCTTTAGCGCTTGACTGTTTCCTCACATCCTGGATGTAAGGGCAGATCTGACGATGCTACCACATTTCATCTGCAGAACTTGTAACATCTGTAGTCAGACTCTGGAGAGAGCTCCCCCTCCTTATACTTCTCCTTCACATTGCCTCCATGGGGGTCATTCTCGCAGGGCCTGAATTTTCAATTTCAAGAAGTCCTTTGCTCTTCCACAGACATGGGAAATTCCCGCTAACGTTTCCAGGGCAGAGCAGATGCGCCTCCTGCTTGTCATGAAGAAGTATGTGCTAGAGTTCTCTGTTTTCTCTCCTGGGACTTTGTTCTTTCTTTCCCTCACTATGCTTTCCCTGCTTCCTTCAAGGCTGATAATGCAGTGTAGAAGCTTTGGATGCAATGGGGAATGACAAGTTACTTCACAAGAGATCATACGAGGTAGCATAGGGTCACCTGTCTTTCCAAGGGTCTCAAACTGACTAGTGTGGGCTCCTGGCTTATAGGATTCAGCATTAGCTTTACTTCCCCCCACTCCTTTGGGGATAGAGCAGCAGGAGGAATGGTAACACTGTGAACCTCTACTGCACCAGAGGTTTAATGTCATGTAGAGAATGCTGTTCGACAACACCAATTCACCGTTGGTATTTATCCGTGCTCTGAAATAGTCAAGATTTTGCTCAACTCCTTAAAAGCAAAGCGTGATTGTTCTATCTTGGAATTCCTAGTGCCCAGCCCAAAGCTGATGCTGTATTAATGAGGCAAGTAAGTAAACAGACGAATGCATAGATATTCTTAACTCTGATGGGAACTCAGACTGCCCAAGAACTGATTGGAGGTTTTTTTTTTTCTTTTGGTTACTTGATTTTATAAAACAGTCCTAATATTGAGTGCAAGGTAATACTATCTAGTGCTATGCTTCAGTTCTGTTTTGGAATGGAGATGGCAAAGAAATGGTACAGTTTTTTTTTTAAGTTTTTAATTTTACTGTACAGAATAAAACTATTTATGGGATTTGTGTGCAGGGCTGCTAGGTAAGGGATAGCATGCTTCTTAGCTTGAATTAGAAAATTCCCAAAGCATTTATCCTGAGTAGTTCAGAGTTGCTTCAGCCATCTATAAATAGGATATTCTGAGTACAAGCACCTGCATATTCCCACTTCTGCTGAGTCTGGTGGCTGGGCTCTGGGAGGAGGGGCAGGAGTGGCCTTGGAGCAGGAGATCCAGGAGTCTTTTCTGATACTCAGAGCTTGCCTCTGTGGAAATTCTAAAGTTCACTCATCATCAGGACTGATGGAAAGCAGCTAACTAAGCCTGTTTGTCGCCCACAGGTCTGAGACGCACTTACAGATGTACCACCTGCAGTGTGTCGCTCAACTCCATAGAACAGTACCATGCACACCTGCAAGGATCAAAGCATCAGACCAAGTAGGTACTCTGTTCCCACTCCATTCCTGCTCCCACTCCGTCCCTGTTCCCACTCCTTCCCTGTTTACAATCCATCCCTGTTCACACTTCATTCCTGTTCACACTCCTTCCCTTTTCCCATCCCGTTCTTATTTCTACCCCTTCTCTGTTTGTTTCTACTATTTCTGTTCCCACTCTTTCTCTGTTCCCACTCTTGGGTCCTTCTAGTGGACTTGTTTTTGCAAGATCATTAAACCCAGATGTGTTATATCTTCAAAAAGGCAGACTGATGTACATTTTATCTTCTTATCTGCAAAGTCTCCTTGACATTTATGCAGCTTGAGCCTTCCAAATGTCCCTAGCGTTACTGGAAGAGCAGCTGCTTCTCCCACTTCAGCACAAGTAATGGAATTTTCTTCAAAAATAATTCAGCATGCTTTATGACCTTGAGGAAACTTTTTAGAACTCTATTTTGTTTCTGAGTAACTGACATGATCCCTGTTTGTAGATTTTACTAAAAAGCTTCTGTGTCATGCAGTCAAACTCTGTGAATATTTCTTATGTTCTCATTTTGGATATATGTTGTCAAATATTATGAAAATTTAACTTATCCCCTAGTATTTAATTCAGATTAAGTCATGTGTGTGTATATATATATATATATATATATATATATATATATATATATATATAT